ACATTGCTTATTTCATCGATTTATTGTCATTTATTTGTCGATAGCTTTATGTAAATGTAACGTAGAAAAAAAAATTGGTCTGTTTGAAGTGTTTGCTAGATATGATTTTTAAATCTACATCAGAAATATATAGAAGAAAATAAAAATGTAAGAAAAAAATAAAAAATAAAAAATACAATAAAAATAAAATCAATAGTTTAAGTAAAATTATGTGAACGACATAAAATTAAACCCTTATTACAGAAATGGAGGAAATTATTTAAATTTTTTTTTTAGGGTTTATTTTAATTTTAACATAATTTACAGAGTATATATATATATATATATTATATTCAACAATTCAGTGGCGTATCTGGAATTTTTTTTTTGGGAGGGAGGTTAGAAAAAATGTAACAAGAAATGTTACATTTTTTTGAATTTTGTGTGTTTTTATTATAATCAATAGATAATAATCATACATTAAAATTGTTTGGTGAGGGGGGTTATAACCTTTAAATCCTTTTCCTGAATACACCACTGAAACAATTAATATAATGTAGCATCAAGCTAAAACAGATAATAAGAAATTATCGGAGATCTTACGTTAGAGAAATCCTTAAAAATTTAAAAAATATTTTCAGTACTTAGTTATAGTAATATTACTAGTATTCTGCTTATAATAATTAGGAAACGGCTAAACATTTTCGCTACAGTATAAATTCCCAATTGTTCTGTATTTATCTAATAAATTCTATTGCTAGTTAATAATACATTTAGTTATCTATAATTTAGTGTATTCTTAAAATTTCTCGATTGTCTTCTTAAAAAAATATAGTTTATTAAGTATTTAACATGTAAATGTATATTTATTTATACACATATAGAAAAGTATGAAATAAATATTTAAAAAATTTAAATTAAATTGAACATAGAATAAGCGTTAATTTATATGGTATGTATTTCCAAAATGTTTGATGTCGTTATAATTCATGAGCAATCAATTATAAAACCATTTGTAACCGAGGTATAATATATTAGTTACTTAATACTTATTGTAATTAGTTGTATTTTCTGCCTGAAAGTTTGGTTTAAGTTTATTTAAGTGTATAATATATTGTTTACCATATAATTAATTACCTATCATATTTTCATATTACAATGTGTCATAGAAAAAGCCAGTGTTTGTTATCTTCTTCAAAATATATCAAAATATAAAGTTATTATTTAATGAAACGGATACATCGCATTGAAAATAGTTATATGGAGAAAATTATATACGATGCGTCTTTATAAATGTTGTTCAAAATACTTTCCAAAAGTATTTCAAATAGGTTTTGAAATACTTAAATTAAATAGTATTATGATAAAATATTTATTTAAATACTTTTGATAATAAGTATTTAAATAAAAATACAAATATATTCAAAAAATATTTCAAATACTAACTTAATAAATTCATTTTAACGAATTAACGAATAACGAGTGTCGTAGTATGTGATTTTGTGATACTGGGATTCGGGGTGTCGCCGTACTATGATACTCTAAAATATAAATAGCCAAATAGATATACGATACATGGAAAATATTGTTTTCTTCGTAATATATTTAAATATTTCTTGTCTATAACAATATTTATAATCGTCACTTCATCTCGTCGGCGATAAGAAATTTCTTCAAAATCGAAAAACCAAACGAAAAATCTTCGAAAATATTATATTTAATATTTTTAAATACAAAATATAATAATAAGTATTTGAAATATATTTGAAATACTTTTGACTAAAATGTCTAAGTATGGTCTTAATATAATATTTCCGTTCAACGGTTTGATTGCGTAAAAAATGTTATGAGTGAAATACCATCTACGAATTTAAATATATATAAACATATTATCTAAATTTTAAAATTGAAAAATTTCGAATGGTGAGTGACGACGAAATTATATGATTTTATGATTAACAAGACCCGCTTTCAGGAAATATTATCGTACACGAATTTTTTATTGTATACATCAAAGAGAAATACGCGAGTTATATCATAAAAAATACTTGGTATTTTGGAAAAAATGTTAAGAATATATTTATGGCGGACATTTCGAACGTTTATATTTTCTTAAACAGCTTGAATATCTTGATATTTTTAAAGCCATGACCATCTTTATCAAAATGAAATTAATAATTGTTTCGTGAATGCATTTTTGGCATTAATATTATTATGACCGAGAATCAAACACAACATTGTATTCTTAAAGTAATTATTCGAACATGTTTTGAATGACCACGGTTTCAAAATTATTTACCTTTGTGCGTAGGAATCATTTTTCAACGCTATGGCATAATATGACGTCATTCATATTAAATAATTTTCGCATTCGACGTGTGTATAATGTTATAGAACATATGCGGATCGTAAACTACGGGGATTTTCGGAATAATAGCGTTGTCACGCATTATCGGCCCGAGGTTTTAAACTCTTAAATAATAATAATGAATTCGTGGGATGCCGGAAGATGTGAATTATTTTCACACGTCATAATACGTGCCAACTCTGAGTATCTACCTTTAATGAAAACAGTATATGTTGTTTTGTTTCATCGTTATTATAACAATGTAATAGGGCGACCATTAAAAACGTCCCTTATCATGACAAAAAGCTTTTCAATATTTCGTGTCCTATTGTCTTACGTTTAACACACAGAATTGTTAAAAATAATTAAAAGTCGTTTAAAAATATTTTATAGTAAAAATAAAAAAACGGGCTAATTTTTTCGTTTTATGTAATTTAAACATAAATTATTAAATCTATACTATAAATACATATAGACCACAAATAGTACAATAGTAAAAAAGATAATATCGTCGATAATGATAGATTGAAATTATGGTTGAAAGTAATTATAATGGTGGTGACAAAAATTTACAATTGTATATACAATGTGAACAGGGCCATATTTAGGAATTTGACACTAGAGGGCAACAATAAAAGACGCTTCATTATACCAAATACAAATTTCTGCGGTTGAAAAAAATCTTTCTGAAGAACAATTCGTTGCTGGTGTACACAAAAACATTCTAAGTGCAATGTTAACATAACGATAGATTGTTTGTAAATCTTTGGTATGTGTGTGTGTGTGTGTGTGTGTCGTGATGCCGTGATTGGCGATATATGTTTTTTTTTTGAGATTCAAAAATATTAGTTCAAATATTGAAAATATAAAAAATTAGCTGCCCTTTCTTATTCAGCCTAAACTCCCCCTAAATACGGCCCTGAATGTGAAGCTGATACAACAACATTTTCAAACCTATCTGAAAGATAAAATTAAGAATTGCTTTAATTAAGATAATATTATTATATGTAAAAACAGTAATGTAGGAAAGATTGATATCAAGTTACGAGAAAAAGTAATTTTTGATAGATTCTATATTGTGAGAAAGGATAATTAATGAGCAAGTCATATTTGATCCACGCCATAATCGAGAATGCTGCAGTAGGAACTATTATTGAACTTTAATTTGAAGCAGTGGAACAGTAAAAGATTATAACAAATGCACTACTTAGAGCAGTGGTTCCAAAACTATTTTCACCGTGGGCATTAGATTTAAATATTAATTTTCACGTGACTCAGTTATACTTGCTTACTGGTACCAGTAAAAAAAAAAAAAAAATAACGAAATACAATTCTTCATCGATATAAGCTATAGTTTTTAAGCGGTCCATACACGGTAAATAATATTGATCAAAATTTGATATTGTCAATAATATTGATAGTGTATTGGCAGTATCGAAAAATTGATCAATATATTGAATAAATTAAAAATACTTGACTTTTATTGAAGCACTATTAATAGTAATGCGCATTTTTATCTTATTTTTTTAATTAATATAGTACCTAAAGTTAAAATTTTATCATAGCATTCATTCTTAACAAATTTCTATAGACTTCAGGTTGGTTCAATCGTAGTTCAGTTAACAAATTTTCACAATTATACTTATTTCGTTTTTGTAACCACTCTTTAGCCCAAATTCTCTGCTTCCATTTTTTCTTCCTTTTATGGAGGATATAAATAGCTAGAGCAAGAGCTATTATAGTATAATCTAAATTATAAGACCTATCTGTTCGTAATTAAAATGCATAAATTGTTTAAAGCTAATTAAAATTTAAATGAATTGTAAACATTGGTAAACTGTTCTCTGTAATATCTAATTTACTATTTGATAACGGACCTGGTAATTTGGTAATGATATTATGTTTAATAATTAATCAATATTATTGATATATTGATGGTCATCGTTTATTTTCGTCAATATTTTGTCAATTATATTGATCAATAATATTGGACATGTATGGGCCGCTTAAGGTAAGTTTATTTATCTTTTACATTCAAAATGTATTAAATTAATAAATTAAAGACTATTGTGATATCGTTGCATGCTGTCCACTATAGTAAATGTTGAGAAACTATAATTTCTCAAAATTTACTGCTTATAAAATAAAATAAGATATATTTGCTCAGCACTTGTCTCTGAATTCCGTGTTTAAATCATAAGTCATTTTCGATACTTGATTTACTATTTTCCGTTTTCAGTGTTTGTGTAGCAAATTTAAATTTGTCATACGTTCACATATTCTAACTATATATCTAACTATATATCTAATTTCGTATATAGTTAGAATTTGTGAACGGAATGACAAATTTAAATTTACTACACAAATACTGAAAACTGAAAATATTAAATCAAGCATCAAAAATGACTTATAATTTAAACACGGAATTCAGAGAGATAAGTGCTGAGCAAATATATCTATATATATAATCTTTATATATATATATATATATTTTATTATATAAGCAGTAAATTTTGAGAAATTATAGTTTCTCAACATTTACTATAGTGGACAGCATGCTACTACATCACAATAACTATTAATTGATTAACATTCAGCCAAAAACTCTGAGACGGAGGTTTCTGGTGAAAAGTAGCTGTTAAAAGAGGTGCGTAATTTTTCCGACTACCATCGTTCACTTTTTGCCCTTTTTTCCACCTTTTTTTTTCTCTTTTTTATTCTTGGACACGTTGACCACGGGTTCCAAAGTTGGTGCGGCCGGCCGGTAGTCCTCTTCCTGGAACTGCGTACTGGCTTCCACTGGCTTTACGAATTCCTTGGGCAGGCGTACCTCGATCTGCAAACGGGCCATGTCATCGGGCTCGTTGTGCCGCTTGCCCAGCCGCAATACCATAATGTGTTCGTCCCTACTGATCGGCAACCCGGTGACCGGTCCCACGAGCGGGTCAGTGGACACCGGCAGCGGAGGCAACGCTCGTTTCACGTGCTTCCGCTGCGGAAAAATGTTCTTCGCGGTCGCACCGTCCACCGACTTCGGCCCCATATTATAGTAAACGGCTCCAGTTGGCCGTCCGTCCCGGCCAGTCGCACCCTTGCTGATGCCGCCGCTATCCCTGCCCAAGCCCAAGTGGAACGTGGCGCGGTCGTCCCGCAGACCCACTTCGCCAGGCTTCAGTCTCATGGCGTTCTTATCCTTCCTAGGGTTCATTGCCGAAGATCTTTCCTTGGCGCACAGCTTCCACAAAGTCTGCAAGAACGCAAGGATTGAGTAGAACAAAATTAACGGTTGACGCGTGGTGGCCCCAATCATTCTCAAAAAACAGTAAAATTTTGGTCGTTCGTAAAAATGCATAAAAATTGTTTTTGCAGTCGTATAATATAGTTTGCGTAGAAAGTCCAACATCTGTTGGCCTGTTGATGATTATGGTTATGATAGTAGCAGTGCCACGTTAAGCTAACCGCCCCGGGGAAAATTAAAATATGCCGCTCTTAAGAAAATTACAATTTAAAATTATATTACACCACACTATTAATTTTTCTGAGCAAATTATCGGTTTTTTCTAGTTTTTCTTTTGCCACCTTTTTATATGCTACGCTGTTTAATCTGATTCGTTTGTCTAATATTATTAATATAAACATATTTTTACCTATTTTATATTAATTCAAATAACTCTTATTATAATCGTTATTGTAAAATTAATATTTTAACTGTCAAAAAAAAATTATCAAACTGAAAATATGTTTGCACATTGAATAGTGAAATGTACCAACTGCCAAAGTAAAATACCGACTATTTTCAAGAAAAAACGCACAGGAATAAAGAAAATAGTTAATACGATAACAGTACAGCTGTAAAAAAAAATATCTATATATACATATAATATATATATATAACTTTCAAAAATTGTGACGTTCATTTGAGTATGATAATTTTTGTTATCAGAATTATAACTAAAAATAAGTTTTGATTCATTAATGAATCAGAAGGAAGGAGAACCACGTGCGTTTCGCTAGCACCGCCCATTAGGAAAATTTGATTTTTTATACTATCAATATTTAGCACGTTATTAGCATGAATTTGCATGACCAATTTCGCAATTTGCATGGCATCCATTTCTCCGGAATCGCAAAAATTAACGGGCGGTGCTGGCGAAACGTTTCGCCAGCACCGCCCAATCGCAAAAATGAAATTTTTTATATTTTTTCATAGCCATTATTTAGCACGCAATTAGCATGAATTTGCACGACTATCGCCGAAATTCGCTCGATCATTGTTTCCGTGCAATAACCTATCAAAGAATTCGCGCGTTTCGCCAGCACCGCCCAAAATCGAAATTTTACGATTTCATAAAATTCAA